GTTTGTGTGTGTGTGTGTGTGTGTGTGTGTAGAGGAGAGAGAGAGATAGAGAGAGAGAGAGAGAGTGATAGAGAGAAAGAGTGTACATATGTGTGTGTGTGTGTGTGTGTGTGTGTTTGTATGTGTGGCCTCTTGAAAAAAGATAGACACGCAGGGATTTTCGACGGTTTTAGGGGTTCGTGGGTCAGATTATGTTTAAGAACACCTTCTCTGGGGGCGTATATGTGCGCCCTTGAGGCTAGAGTCCGTAGAAAATAAAATGTATTTCTAAGATGCAGTAGCTCTCAAGAGACCAAAAAGTTCAAATTGCTTGAATAATACCAATAGATAACTAAAATTATGCGACCTTCTAGTCCTCGAGGGATAAAACTGTCGAAAATTGTGGTGGCCCCACGAGTTGAGTTTTTGTCGCCCTAAAAAAAGTCGAGTAATGCAAGCTTTATGAAAATCAAACAGAACAGACGAATGAACGCAACAAAACACCACAAGTAAAGCGACTGACTTATTTTTAACGATCCAGGTATCTTGTCCACCGTGAGTGCCGTATCCAACAACCAAAATAGCGTGGGTCAATATTGCAGATGTGCATGCAGGCTCGTCATACACACCACCTCTGTAAAACTGGAAGCTGAGATGGGTTCCGTCAATGATAACGCTAATGGGACCCACCTAGAAAAGAAAAATAATGTTGAGCTAAGTACTTCCCCAACTGTGACAATGTGTCATGTCATATGTTTCTGTTTAAGGAATAAAAGGGGGCAAGGTGGGGTGGGGCTTAAAAACACGGCACTTCGAAAGTTAACATTTTATAGATAACTATGTAAAATGTCTTTATATTTTTGACAGGATTATTTTACTGTACAGGAAAGCGAAAAGGCGATTCGTACAAATGGCCAAGGAGTATACAGAAATTAGGGATAAAGGTATGTCCAACACAAGCCGTACTGCCAAGACATACAACTGTGAAAGCGAGACATAGTTAAAACACACACAACAGAGCGCAAGAAAGAGATAGATAGATAGATAGATAGATAGATAGATAGATAGATAGATAGATAGATAGATAGATAGAGCTGAGAGAGAGACA